CAAATGTCAGGGTCTATTTTTCCCAAACCCCTCCAATATTATCTGTTGGTCATGGAAGTCTTTATGCCAAGTTTGGTTCAATTCTATTGTTGGTGGAGTTCAGAATGCTCTTTGGTGCCTGGCGAACTATAATTCACACAAATGCAATTCCCAAAAAGTCAGAGCTGAATCGGTTGGCAGTAATTCCAATCCCTTCATCCATTGTCCATATCATTAATCACTATGCTTTAATTATGTTCAATTTGTAACAATGGAAATACATCCTGCATATCAGATGTTTACATTACAATTCATAACAGGACAGTTATGACGTAGCAACACAAATATGGTTGGGGGTCACCACAACATGAGGAACTGTATTTAGGGGTCACGGCATTAGGAGGGTTGGGAACCACTGCTATAGGAGTTGAGGGAGGACTTTCTTTTGTGTTCGAGATGAAGAAATTGACCGTTAGTATGTTCTGAATGATAAATATTTTGGTTTCAAGCACATAAAACTGAAATTATTCTCAGTTGTGGTTGTCCTATAGCAGGGGTAGGGAACCTTTGGCCCTCCAGCTGTGGTGGACTTCAACTCCCACAATTCCTTGAGGCTCGGCATTGGGCCAAGGTAAGCCTTTAGACCTATAGGCTAATCTTTAACATAAATGAAGAGACTCAATAAGTAAGCTATAAACCATAAAAAAGAAGCTTTAGGGTGGACCGTAACACGGAAATGAGGACTCACTTCCTTGTGTTTCCTAGAGCAGCCTGTCGCTTAAAGCCACTGACTAACCCAGTAGTCTCCAAACTTTGAGCTTGTCGCAATAAAAAAAAGGAAAATAACATTTAAAAGTCATCCGTGTGAGTCCAAAGTGTTCACCCTCCTGCTATGATAATAATATGATAATAATAATCTATATATTATTAATCTATATAAATAGATTATATATTATTAATCTATATAAATAAAAATGTAATGTTCATTTGTGGGATTCACAGAACTCAAAAACCACTGGACGAATTGACACCAAATTTGGACACAAGACACCTCTCAGGCCAATTTATGTCCTTCACTCACAAAAAAAAAAAACGATTTCGTCATTTGGGAGTTGTAGTTGCCGTGATTTATAGTTCACCTACAATCAAAGAGCATTCTGAACCCCATCAACAATTGAATTGAACCAAACTTGGCACACACAACTCCCATGACCAACAGAAAATACTGGAAGGGTTGGTGGGCAGTGTCCTTTGGTTTTGGAGTTGTAGTTCACCTCCATCCAGAGATCACTGTGGACTCAAACAATGATGGATCTGGACTAAACTCTACATGAATACTCAATATGCCCAAATGTGAACACTGGTAGAGTTTGGGGAAAATAGAATCTTGACATTTGTTAGTTGTAGTTCCCGGGATTTATAGTTCACCTACAATCAAAGAGCATTCTGAACCCCACCAACGATGGAATTGAACCCAACTTGGCACACAGTTCTCCCATGACCAGCAGAAAATACTAGAAGTTTTTGTTGGGCAGTGTACTTTGTTTTTGAAGTTGTAGTTCACCTCCATCCAGAGATCACTGTGGTCTCAAACAATGATGGATCTAGACCAAACTCTGCACAAATACTCAATATGCCCAAATGTGAACACTGCTGGAGTTTGGGGAAGATAGAATGTTGACATTTGGGAGTTGTAGTTGCTGGGATTTATAGTTCACCTACAATCAAAGAGCATTCTGAACTCCAGCAACGATGGAATTGAACCAAACTTGGCACACAGGACTCCCAAAGCTCAAGATTCTATTTTCCCCAAACTCCACCAGTGTTCACATTTGGGCATATTGAGTATTTGTGTAGAGTTTGGTCCAGATCCATCATTGTTTGATCAATGATAGAATTGGGCCAAACTTCCCACATAGAACCCCCATGTGGGCCACAGCAACGCATGGCAGGGGACGGCTAGTATAATGTAAAAATGTTCGTTTGTGGGATTAACAGAACTCAAAAACCATGAGCAGTTGACACCAAATTTGGACACAAGACACCTAACAACCCAGTGTATGTCTGTCACTAAAAAAAAATGATTTTGTCATTTGGGAGTTTTAGTCGCTGGGATTTATAGTTCACCTACAATCAAAGAGCATTCTGAACCCCATCAACAATTGAATTGAACCAAACTTGGCACACACAACTCCCATGACCAACAGAAAATACTGGAAGGGTTGGTGGGCAGTGTCCTTTGGTTTTGGAGTTGTAGTTCACCTCCATCCAGAGATCACTGTGGACTCAAACAATGATGGATCTGGACCAAACGTTACACAAATACTCAATATGCCCAAATGTGAACACTGGTAGAGTTTTGGGGAAATAGACCTTGACATTTGGGAGTTGTAGTTACTGGGATTTATAGTTCACCTGCAATCAAAGAGCATTCTGAACCCCACGAATAGAATTGGGTCAAACCTCCCATAGAGGACCCTCATGTGGGCCACAGCAACACATGGCAGGGGACGGCTAATAATAATAATAATAATAATAATAATAATAATAATAATAATCTTTATTTGTACCCCGCTACCATCTCTCCAAGGGACTCGGAGCGGCTTACATGAGGCCGAGCCCAAGATACATCAAACAAACATCAATAAACACAACATTAATAAACGATCAATAAAATACAAATCATATAAATCACATAAACAAAAACAATCAATGGTGACATATAACAGTTTTAAAATGGCCGGGCCAAATGTAATAGATTAAAATCAAAATATGCTGACGTGAAGAAGGTATCCATCTATTTGTACTCAATGGAAATGGTTCATTCATTCCATCACTCCCAGGGCTTTGTGGGTTTGTTTTGTGTCTAATTTGGGCAGGTGTTGTGGCTAGAAAATGACTCATGAGTGCACACAATGACTTAATTCAATTGAGGACAGGTTATTCATTCTCTTACGCGCTGCAGAAACCAACCATTCTGGGTACTAGTATGCCTTGGGTATCATAAGTTTAGGAAATACCATATTACTTGTTTAGACAGATTCTTCCGCAATGAGTGCCATTGGATCCCCCACATACGACCTAGCAAAATTTCTTGCTGCACAGTTACAAAGCCATATTGGGCTCACTACACACTACATCAAGGACTCAGCCCACTTCATAGAAAAAATCAGCAATCTCAAGCTAAATACCAACGACAAACTGATCAGCTTCGATGTGGTATCTCTATTTACCATGGTCCCGGTACCAGACACCATGGCACTCATCAACCAGAGGTTCCCAGAAGACATCACGGCTCTGTTTCACCATTGCCTCACCACCAGTTACTTTCAGTGGGACAATGAATTCTACGAACAGAAAGATGGAGTAGCTATGGGGAGCCCTCTCAGCTCGGTCATATCTAACTTCTACATGGAACACTTTGAAGAACAAGCCCTGGAAACAGCAACCAAAAAGCCCACGATATGGTTCAGATATGTGGATGACACCTTCACCATTTGGAGCCATGGAGAAGAAGAACTCAACAGGTTCCTGGACCATCTTAACAGCATCCACCCAAACATCCAGTTCACCATGGAAAAAGAAAATGAAGGAAGACTGCCTTTTCTAGATGTCCTAGTCATCCGCAAACCAGATCAACAATTGGGTCACACCGTCTACAGAACCACACACACAGATAGATATCTACATAAAAACTCCACCATCACCCAAGTCAAAAAAGAAGCACCATTAAAGCCTTGGCAGACCGTGCAAAAAGAATCTGCGAACCCCACCTCCTCCAAGATGAACTGAACCACCTCAACTGGGCTCTACAGGCCAATGGATACTCCACCTCAGACATCAGAAGAGCTGCAAGACCAAGAACAAGCCACGAGAGTCAAGATAAAGATCCACCCAGATGAAAAGTGTCCTTACCATACAGCAAGGGAACCACTGACCGCATAGGGAAGCTGATGAGGAAACACAACATCTACAGACCCACCAAGAAAATCCAACAAATGCTACGTTCAGCAAAGGACAAGAGGGATCCTCTCACTTCTGCAGGAGTCTACCGTGTACCATTCAGCTGTGGACAAGTCTACATAGGGACCACCAAACGCAGCATTGCCCAAACACGAATCAAGGAACATGAAAGGCACTGCAGACTACTTCAACCAGAGAAGTCAGCCATAGCAGAGCACCTGATGAACCAACCTGGAC